AGAGCAAATTTGAGATGGGAATGAAGGAAAGTAGAGGTGGGCACATATCCCATCCCATAAATGCCTTTCTGCAGCCCAGACTAAAAATAGTTCCAGATACTTCATCCTTATTTCCACACTCCCAACCACTGGGTACAGGCCTCTTTTCACATTTTGCAAGTAGAATTAAAATGAAAGTCACTAGTATATAAAGGGACAATGTGTTTAGAAGGTCTGTAAAGACAGAGAGGCCTCTACACCAAGGGGAGAGACTGTGTCCTTGGCTGGAGAAAGCCAGGGTAAAAAGCCTGAAGAGAGCAAGTCTGGGAGAATGTGGGGGAGTGGGAACAGTCCTGGGCAAGAAGGTGTCAGAAAACCAGTTCTCTGGTGTCAACTACGTGGAACCCTGAACAGTACACTGTATTTCTTCTTCTCATACTAGCAGTTGGATTGCTTATAGTATTAATATCCGTGGAGTACTTCGGACTTTTTTTTTTAACTCCCCCAAACCAGAGAATATAAAGAAGAGGATCAAAGACCCCACTCCACTTTTTACAGTAACTGTCATTATTGGCATTTTAGAAAAGCCAGAGTTGACAGGAAGACTGAGCAAGTGCAAGTGCGTGACTTACCTTGTCAATCTAGGTTGCATGGCTAGGAAATTCACTAAGGACAGTCCTTGTGCTCTTTTGGGAAACAAACATGTCTCCTTTTTCCTTTCCTACTTCTGGAAAAGGTTACTGCAGTGAATAAGTATGACCCTCCCCCTGAAGTGGTCGCTGTCCGAGATCATATGACCCACATAGTCAACAGCATGTCGCAGCCACAGAGGATCTTTGACAGGTATTTATTAGGACCCCTGCAGGTAGAACTCTGGAGTGGGCAAGAAAGAGATGGGATTGCTGTTTTCTCTAGGCCCCTTCTCCTCTCTCTCTCTCTCTCTCTCTCTCTCCCCCTCTCTCGTGACTCACTCTTTCTCTATAGAAGCAGCTTTCTCAGGGCCAGAGATGGTTCACAGGTTTAGAGCCCTGGCTGTTCCTCCACAGGACCTGGGTTCAATTCCTAGACCCGCATGTCAGCTCACCACAGTCTGTAGCTCCAGTCCCAGAGGATCTGACACCCTCTTCTGGCCGCCATGAATATCAAGCACACACATAGGACAAGGACTATAGACTACATGCAGGCAAAACACTCATGTACATAAAATAATAATAAAAAAACATTTGAAGCTGCTGCCTTGCCTTCTCTGAGGTAAGGGGCCCTGTCTTCCACCATGGCCTGTTACTGTGCATTTGAGTGTGATTTCACTTTGATGACTTTCCCAGATCTGACTCACCTTAGGTCCCTTGTAGTCTAGCCAGCCTGAGACAAATGACAGCGATTCTCAAGTCAAAAGTGTAAATTTCCTGCCCTAGGATAGAAACACAGAGCTTTCTCTCATTAACAGAGGATTTGTATCATTTATGAACACACAAATCACTTTTCTTGTTGCTTTTGAGGATGCAGCGCTTTTAGCAATCCATCAGAAGTGATTCAGGAGTAGAGGGATGGACTTTTGCCTAATGGTTTGAGAGGATATATATGGTCCACCATCGTGATGCTGGGTAGAAGCAGGAACCACTAACTCCTGATGGTGGCAGAGGGAGCTTTCTTGTGTCTGGGCACATCGGAAGTGGGGATGAGAATGCAGGTCTTAGTCAGCTTTCTCCCCAGTCCTGGATGCCAGCCGTGGGTGGCACCCGCAGTGGCTTGAATGAGAAGTATCCCCTAGAGGGACTTGTATTTGGAAAGCTGGTCCTCAGTTGGTGGTACTGTTTAGGAAAGGTTATGGAACCATTGGGGGGTGTGGCCTTGCTGGAGGAAGAACGTCATTGGGGAGGCTCTGAGGGTCTGCAGGTCTGCCTGGCTTCCAGTCTGTCCTCTCTGCTCTGTGTTTTCAGGCGATGATGTAATCTCTGAGTTTCCTTCTCCACCTGCTTGCTGCCAACCCTCCCCTACCATCATGGACTCTTTCTCTAGAACCATGAGCCCCAAGTAAACTTCCCCTTGTGTTAGTTGCTTTGGGTCGTGATATTTTATCACAGCAAAAAGTAACTGATACAGTGCCACACACATGGGTCATATTCCCCTCAGTTAATTCTGTCTGGAAAAGCCCTCAAAAAATGCACCCAAACGGTGCATTCTTAATAACATCCAGACAATCTGGCAGGCACAATTAACCATCACACGTTGTAAACCGTTCCTTAACTGTTAGCACATGCTAAATACTCGTGCCAGAGAGCATTCTATGAGTTTGGATTTTTAGGGGAGCACCTAGAAGGAACCCCAGCGCACCTCAGAGAAACCTGAACAGTCCCTACCGAGCTGCCATCAGCGCAGCAGGGAGGAGCCGTCTTGCCTGGCTGCACACATGAATCGAGTCTCTCACCTCCAGATCCAAAGACAGATTTACTGCCGTTTCTCCATGTCTTTTTAAACAGTCTGTCAGAGCAGATGGCCATTTATGCCATAAGTATAACAGAGAAATTCTATCAATACCCACAGGCATTTTAAAAATACTTGTAAAGCTCTTGGATATACACACTTCTTTTCTTCATGTGGGGTTTGCTTCTGCACCTCACGGTTGGCTTCCCCCAAAAGAACAGAATGTTTTATTTCACAATCCTGGACATGGTTTTTACATACAATGCAGTCATGTCGACATTGACAGTTTAGCATGTTTATGAGAGCCTCCAGGCGAGATGATTTAGCCTTCCATGGTGTGCAGCAGGAAAAGTACGTTTGGCGTGAGGGAAGGTCTCACTCCTGATTTGTAATGTCACTGCTTGTTCGTTTGTATTTATGTAAGAACATGCTCAAAGACATCAGTAGTCGTGTTTGATAAACATATGTTTCTTGGTCACGTCTGGCCATCAGACAAGCAAGGGCAGAGGCCAAGTTGGTCTGGATCATGGTTCACAGTTCGGCTTCAGTGGCTGCCAGGAAGGTCAGCCATTGCCCTTCCCACAGCAGCCTCTGCCAGGTGGAAGAGGGCATCAGTGGGGTGTGGGCACCTGGCCTGTCAATTGTATATTGTATTGTTGGAAAATCAGTGTCCCTCATTGGGCTGAGGATGCCTGACTGAAATGATGCACACAAACTGCAAGTGGCCTGGTGGCCGCTTCTGGCTCTCCGCCCTTTAATGTGTGCGATTTCCCGTAGTCGTCCCACATGTGCTGTCTCCCAGTTCAGGCATCTCTTCCAGAGGCCTTGGTTTTGTTCTGGCCTACTTTGGATGTAATGTATGCCTTCATAGGTTTTTGTTGTTGTTGTTGTTGTTGTTGTTGTTATACTTAAGGACAATTTTTGAATTGTCTAACATTTTTCTTGTTGCGTTGCTTTGATTTTCTTGGTCAGAAAGACTTCCTTTGCCTATTTTCAATATTTGTCACTGCCTGTCATATATTTTTTTTTCTTGAAAAGTTACTTTGAGGGAGCCACTAATTCACATGCAGTTGTAGGAAACAGTAAACATGGACAGTGCACGTTTCCCACATACTCCACAATAGTGGTGCCCAGGACAATGGTTAGTTGAGTACCAAAGCCAAGAGACTGACCCAGAAGCCTTCTGAGTCAGCCACCAGGTTTCTGTAGCCCCTCGGGGGCTCCTGTGAGCTCATCCCTGTCTGGTTCTGTGCAGTTTTATCAGGACTCTGTCCCAGGAGACAGACACTCAAGACTTAGCAGCTTCATCCCAGGCCTCCCTGTGGTGCTCCCAGCTAGCTGTGGCTCCTCTCTCTCTCCCTGCCTTCCTCATCTCTCATCCCCGAAAGCCACGGATCTGCCCCCATCTCATAATAATGTCACTTCTGTATGATGTACAGAGATCACACAGTGTAATTTCCCCAAGGCTCTCATCGTCCCACCCCATGCTGGGTGCCTTCCTGGAAATTCATCGGTGGGGATGAATCCTTTTTTTATTGTTAAGTAGTGTTCCAGGGCATAGGTGTGTGAGCATTAACTTAACCATTCACATATGAAAGGCGTTTAGGCTGATTCTAGTTTCGGGTCCCACTAATAAAGTTGCTATGCATGTCCACGAACAGGCTTTTGCACATTTCTGGTTCTGCCTGTCTGCTTCCTGTGGGTACCAAGGACTGTTTGGTGGGTTCCTATCCTTAGATCTGTCAGATGGTGCTCACTGCTTCCTTCTCCTGCACAGGCTCCATTACCAAGCAGTCTGCCCATTCCTGGAGACACTCCATCTCCTTCTGTTGTGTGTGTTCTTCGTGGGCGTTCGTCCTGAAGCTTTCTCCACTTTCATGCATACCCTCAGAGATTAGAAACCCGTGCTGTTTCCTGGAAGGCATAGAATCTTCACTTAATCCACACCTCGGCTATGCAATCAAACATTTTATTTTATTCTTTTTCTATAGTTTATTTCATGGAGAGTGTGCAAATACATAGGCGCAGTATATGTTGCAGGACACCGTGTTGGTAATTTCATTCTTTCTTGTTTTAAGCACAGGGTCCCTCTATGTAACTCTGGCTGGCCTGGAACATGCTATGTAGTCCAAGCTGAACTTCAACTCACAGAGACCTTCCTGCCTCTGTCTCCCTCATGCTGGGATTAAAGGAGTATGCCACTATGCCAGGCAATACTTTTATTCTTTATTGTAGTCTTCCAGTCTCGAGTAAGGGCTTACATACCAGCCCTTCCTTTCCTCTGAACAAGTCACTCTGCTCATTGGTATATTCTGGAGAAAGGAATACTTTAGCAACCAGGATCTAATGTGTCCTTCCATGTTTTTTCTTTAGAAAAGCTTGGTAAATTGAGAGAAATTTGTATTTTACCTTTATCCTTTGAAAGGAAGGTTATATTTTATTCGACGTTGTATATTCACGTGTGCCTGAGTGCATGTGTGTGCATAGGTGCCTGTGAAGGTCAGAGGAAGACAGCAGAGTCCCCTGGAACTAGAGTTACAGCTGGTTGTGAGCTGTTAAATGTGGGTGCTGGAAACCAAACCTGGGTCTTCTTGGGAGAGCAATAAATGCTCTTAATCCCTGCTCTGTCTCTCCAGGCCCAAATGTTGTTTTGATATATTATAATCCTGTTTCTGGAGAGTAGAACCGTCCTTCCACTTGCCTACATTCAGCAAGCACTGTTAATTATGACCATGACGTAGAAAACTCGAGCAGGTGGCTAACACACAGCATCTCTGCTGGATCTTGTTGCAGCACTCTGCCAAGTCTGGATGCCCCTTATCCCATGCTGGTTTTAACTGGTCCTGCAGCTTGTGGCAAACGAGAACTCGCCCACCGCCTCTGCAGACAGTTTAATACTTACTTCAGATATGGGTAAGTTTGCCTGTTGGCCTGTAAGTCTTGGAGAGTCTTCTGCCTTGTTGGGGACACCAACAGTTTCTTTCTACAAAGTTCTCAGATGTTGTTAGTTCTTTCTGCTTTAAGCAAATTCTTACACAGATGTAACAGTTTATTTAAGTTATATCTAAAAGCTAGAAATGGTAAATAAAGTGAACGGTAGGTAGATGACAAATCCTTAGACATCCCGACCACCATCTTGCTACAATTGGCTCTTGTTTCTCCTGCCATCCTACACGGTATAGCAGAGATGACTACTAATGCATATTCCAGTTACAGAACTTATTAATTAGCCAAACGAAGCAAAAGATTTTGTCTTTGGTGAAAGCAGCAGTAAATATATCTCAGTGACCAGCCGAACACATAAACAAGCAGGGCACACTCGTTCCTTTTTACACCTTTCCCAAGCAAGTTCTCCTAGCTTCTCGGCCACTTATTGAACTGTAATCTACATAGGATTTAATGTTTAATCCTTTGAATGTTTAAGTTAATGCAATGTCAACTCAAATCATTCTCCAATATCTGAAAATACTGATCTTCACTGAGCACAACCGTGTTTGAAGGGAGTGTCCTTCTACTGTCTTGCTGGTGTGTGATGAGGAGAGGTGAACAAATGTCTACTGGTTCCAATAGGGAATCAAGGCAGACAAAAGGAGTGATTCTACTGGAGACCTAGTTACTGAGCTGATGAGTTTGTTGGGGGTTATTAACAGTAGCAGGACACTCAAAGGCAGCCTCATCACCATCTTTGCAGTCCATCTCAGCATAGGTGACAAATCACAAAAGCTGGGACCCCTCCAGTTCACTAAGCACTTCCAGGTACCACACCAGGCCCTCAGCAGTCCTTACTTTGTGTGTGTGTGTGTGTGTGTGTGTGTGTGTGTGTGTGTGTGTGTGTGTGTGTGTGTGTAAAACCTCAAGGAAATGGAGGTGTGGGGGAGCAGGGTGGGTGGGGCAGTGGCGTGGATGAGGGGAGCACTGCTCAGGAATCTCATGTCTGGAACTTCCTGGGATGTACTTCCTGAGTCTGAAGGCACTTCCCTTCAGAACTCCCTGAGTCTTCATGAGTTTCTCTCCAGGATGGACTGTTTCAGTTAGGCGGGAACTGCTAGACAACGCACGGCATGCACGCAGTGTGTGACAGTGCACCCTTAGTGTTACCTGCTGGGCTGTCTTCCAGGAACAGCCTTCCCCCAGCAGGGCTCAGAACCCATGCTGGCAACTCTGGAGCTCTGTGTCTCCTCTCCAGAGCATAACTGTTTTCCATCTCTTCCCTTGGGTGGCTCGGCAAACTCAAGGTTTCCTATACAAAAAATAAATGAATATATACATATATATGTATATATATTTCTCAGATGGACATTTTTATCATACATATATGAAATATATATCTCTCAGATATATATGTATATCTGAGAAAAACCAGCCCATTAGACTTAACAGGTGTTTTAGAAGTTTCTGGAAATCACATTTAGAATTCAGTTGTCTGACCTGTTTCCTCTTTGATCTTTACATGTGGCCAAGGAATAACCTTGGAATTAGTGGTGTCTGCCAGTGAGTTGGAGATGTAACTATAAAGCTGTATAGGCCTGTACGAAAAATGAGTTTCTAATGCTGTTACAGAAAAAGTCCCCTCCTGCAACTGTGTGTCTTCAAACAATGTAAATGGCATCTTTAAAAGGCCAATTTATTAAGATGCTTAAAATTGCAACACACATTTGGACATTTTTAGACACAAACACTGTAGAATATAAATATTACAAAGTAGCAAAAATAAGCTAAAAGTTAATGCTAGCATTAAAAAGCTTAGGGTGCCATTATGTCCATGTGGGGACCCCCCTCCCCCGCCTGCTTTCAGAGATAAGCAGAGTGTAGTGGGTAGAAGGTCAAACTAGAGTGGGAGGTGTGTGCTGACCATTGTGCCAGGGTAGAAATTTGGAACTTTTTAGCAAACCAAAGCAACCTAGGGAAACAGGGCTTTCTCTTATTACTGGCATGTCTGTAGCGGCATCTGGCAATGGTGGCCTGTTCTTTTTTATTTATAAGTGATAAGCTCTTGCCAGGGTGTATTTGGTCTGATATGTTTTCTCGAAGTGTTTATTGACTTACCATCCATATTTCTAATTCAATCTGCTTGTACGTTCTTATCTGGCTCAGTTACTCATGGCCACCCAATCCTATGTGTCCCTTATTAAGATGCTTACCCACCCTGATTTTATTGGTTTAATTAGTGTTTTTTTCCTGGCTTGTCTAAGCCAGGTGGAGGAGTGGCCACATTAGCTTTGTTCACCAATGAGCTCTTGCTGTCTAACATATGACCATGGGCTTCATACATGTGTAATAAATATTTGTTAAATGACTGACAAACTGATTGAACAAATGGACAGCCAGGTTAATGGCCATGCATGCAAATGTAGCTGACATGGCGGTACTAGGAAGCATGGATGACTTTCCTAATGGATCTGTGGAGAAGTGGATGACGGACGAACTCATTCAGTATTACTTGAGTTGCTCCCCAGTTCTAGTCCCTGATGATACCATGAAAAAGACTGCTGAGGTCCCACCCTTTGTGCGGTGTGTAATCATGGACTATGTAGCATTTGCGTGCAGCTGTGAGGTGACAAAGCAAACCCCTCAGGATGAACGCCGAGCCTGTCCTGATGTTGCTGCTGCCACTGGGACTCTTCTGACTGGAATTGATGATAAGTACCAACTGCTACCAACTGCTACCACCTTCCCCTTTGTCCGCCTTCCTCAGAGGCTCAGAAGCAGGTCTACCTCAGCATCCTCACGGAGGCAGAGAGTTGGGCATGTTCAGTGGCAAATCATTCTAACAATTCTGCCCTAGACTATGTCCTCAGATCACACAGATGGGCATTAGATAGCTAGTGATTTCATCCGTCTAGAAGACTAAGAGCGTTCTGTCATTATACGAAGCCACTTTCTGATTAAAACTGTGGAGGAACATCTTCAGGGACAAACTATTGCTCTCAGTTAGAGAGGGTTTCATTTTTTTTTTTAATCTTCCTTATCCCACATAGATCATAGATTTTTAACTAAATGAAAGAAGCCATGGATACAATCTCATTGTGCAACCTTTTTCCTGGCTATCTGTTTGGCTCTTCTGTCTCCCTCCTATTTGTTTTATTTTATTCTTTAAAAATGGTATTCGCCAAGATCAGGATGTTCAGTGACATTCTCACATGCTAAGTCACACGTACAGAGAAATGAATAAACACAATTCTGCTGTATAACAGTGGTGGGGCTGAGGCGTTCTACTAGGGTTTAGGCTTTGGTTTTACTGTTTCTTCTTGGCTTAGAAATCAGCCAGATGTCCTTTCTTTACCTGTACTAGTCAGTGGTGACAGAAAGGTAAAGGTGTACTACTGCCTTCAAAGTCTATTTCTTTATTTTGCTTTATTGAGACAGAGTTTGTCTGTGCAGCCTTGGCTGTCCTGGAACTCACTCTGTAAACCAGGCTGGCCTTGAACTCATGTATCCACCTGCCTCTGCTTCCCTATGCTAGGTTTAAGGTGTGCACCACCACCTGACTGTCTATTTATTTCTAACTCCATATTGTCATACAAGCCAGAGAGTCCCTGGAAAAGCGTTGGATGAAGGAGGCCCCACCAAACTAGACAATCTTCTAGTTTTAAGGCCAGTCATGTGATCTGTAGCACCCTGAAAGACAAACTTTATTCCTCCCTCCACCTCTGCTTTATAATAATATCTGTTGCCACTGGGACTTTCATGGCTGCACATTGAGAGAAATTATAACAATGTAGAAAACTTCCATGTGCTTGGATCATGGGCGCTCAGCCAAGCTCTGCCTGAATATTCGTACAGGGCTTGCTGTCCTGCTCACGGTTTCCTGGGGCAATGCAGTCCAGAACTGAGGTTCTAAATCTGTTTCTGAGTCACGCCGACATGGTCAACCTCCTTAGCCACCTGCTCACTCTTTGTTCTTAGACATCTTTTCATCCTGACACCTTGTCCTCAATACTTTAGGGGGCCAATATGAGGGATGGCCATCCAAGTACCTTTCCCTCCCGACAGTGTCCTTTCCATGGGCATGATTTGTTAGGAGCTTTGGTGAGAGCTCGCTCTGGAATGCCAAAGTCCCCTTAGTCCTTTATTACCAGACATGGAGTCCCTAGCTTAGTCCTTTTGTGGCAAAGAGAAACTAACAGGGAGTGTGGCTCCCATTATAAGCCATGATATTATCACATATCATGATTTCATTAGTTAATTAGCAAGTAATAAAGTCATAGAAATATGCAGAGGAGGGGGTTGATGCTGAAGGGGAGGGCCCAGAGAAATCTGTTTCTGTTAAACTTGGTGCTGCTGTTCCTAGGTGAGCTTGGCGAAACAATGCTTTTACCGTGAAGTATTTCCCTTTCGGGATGCTCACAGTCGGGCAGCACAAACCCAGCAGAGGTTTCTATCTGTAAGATTGGATGACAGATTGAAAAGCCCACAGGTCGTCTTAGGTCCTTCTTAATAGAAGGTCCCACAGCCGTCACCAGTCCTCATGCCCGTTCTCTGCTTGACTGGAGCCATCTCTTTGTTTACCTGTTCACATGCTTCAAATTGCTTCTTTGTTTAGTCTCTTTTCAGAAACTCTTCAAAACTCCCTGCCACCCAATCCCTTTGTTGGGAAATGTAAATCCAGTGTAGCGTGTAAAGACTTTGCTGTTTCTGAGTCACACTGACATGTACAGCCACGGATGCCAGGCCACAGATTTATCTCCTCTGACTGTCAGGGATGCCAGTAGACAGAGGGGCCCAGGTCTCTGCCCAGGCACAGGGAGAAATGTCAGTGTGTTCCAACAACAAAACAAATGTCACCATGTTTTGAATGTGCTCTCTTTCTAGTATCTACGGTGTAAGCATAATGTTGGGAACTGAAATTTTCTGGCTACAGTTAATTTCTTGATTATTATATAAAGGGAGCCATTATATGAATTTTAAATCCA